GAACAAATTGTGGAAGGTTTATAAATAAAAATTAATCTCATAAAAGAAATTTATATTGACCAAATTCAAAAGGTTATAATTTGCTTTATCCATAAATTGAACGACGGAACAAAAGCACAGCAAGGTCTTCTGGACGTACTAACCTGATCTTTCACAAAAATCTGTAAAGGGTTACAAAAGGGTTATAAGAATCTCACCTAGGGCCGGGCGCGGTGGCTCAAGCCTGTAATCCCAGCACTTTGGGAGGCCGAGGCGGGTGGATCACGAGGTCAAGAGATCGAGACCATCCTGGTCAACATGGTGAAACCCCGTCTCTACTAAAAATACAAAAAAATTAGCTGGGCATGGTGGCGCGTGCCTGTAGTCCCAGCGACTCAGGAGGCTGAGGCAGGAGAATTGCCTGAGCCCAGGAGGCGGAGGTTGCGGTGAGCCGAGATCGCGCCATTGCACTCCAGCCTGGGTAACAAGAGTGAAACTCCGTCTCAAAAAAAAAAAAAAAAAACTCACCTTGTGTTCAAACTGATTATTATTGGATTAATTTGTCTGTAAGGTTTCATTTTAAAAATTAAGGTTGGCAGTAATGGTAAACTGATGCAAAGGTGAAGTCTGTCTTTTTCTCTCAAACAAGATCTTCAGGTAATGAAAAGTTTTTGTTTGCCTTATGAATAAACTCCTGAAAAAGGAAGGGAAGGATAAGAGACAGACTCTTTAGAAAAATAAGTCTTCCCTCTTATGAGTAAAAGTTTTTGCTTTTTTAAAAGTTTGAGTCATCATTTTGGCTACATGGATGACTTACGGTAACCTGAAATTCTATTAAATGGTTTTTTTTGGGGGGGTTTATTTTTGGTTTTGATTTTTGAGACGGAGCCTTGCCCTGTCACCCAGGCCGCAGTGTAGTGGCACAATCTTGGCTGACTGCAGCCTCTGCCTCCACCTTCAGCGTACCTGGGATTACAGGTGTGCACCACCATCCCCAGCTACTTTTTTAGATTTTTAGTAGAGACGGGGTTTTGCCATGTTGGCTTGGCCGGTCTCAAACTTCTGACCTCAGGTGATCCACCTGCCTCAGCCTCCCCAAGTGCTGGGATTATGGGCGTGAGCCACTGTGCCTAGCCTATTAAGTATTTTAAGACATGTTTAGTTACATAGAATGATGAAAATACGGTGGTGTTTGATCTTCAGGTTATATTTTAGTGAATAGTATTAACATGTGTTCCAGAATGGCGTGCTGTTTCTAAAACCCTGATATCTGAGCATCATCAATCGTGATTAGGGTTATTGTGCTGTGCTATCACAGGCCGCAGAGGTGACCACGTTCCTTTGTCAGTTGGGTTTTTGACTGTGACCACCCTAGGATGTTCTGACGTTCACAGACATTGTCCTGTTTTGATCCTCTTCAAAGGATGGGTGGTAAACTTGAGGGCACAGATTCTAACTTGGGAGACTGAAAACAGGCGTTGACCGGGCGTTCTAAACCAACGGAAGACTAAAGTCACCTTTTTTGACTTTTTTGCTTGGAACACGCTGATCCTTTGTTTTGTTTTTCAGAACCAAGTAGCTTTGTCAGTTGTGGGGTGAATCAACCAGTGACCTCTGACTGCAGCTCAGAAGAAACGGCAGGGATGGGCCATCAGACCCCAAATGGTCCCGCGGATGAGCCTCGGATGATGGCCGCCTTTCTCCAGGAGCCCTAGATAGGTCTCCGAGAGAGACCTGGCTGCGTTTTCCCAAAACAATGGCCTGTCAGCAAAGGAGTTAGAGCGGCATCATCCCTCTCCTAATGGCAGTTAGATGGAGCTCTTCAGAGGTGGTGACGGCAGCAGCAGCCCATCCAGAGTGGCCACTGCGAAGGCACCACTCCACGGAGCAAATGGGAGCCCCGACCCACTCAGGCCCAGGGCCTGAAATCTGTCTACACGCCCTGGCTTGCTTGGTAACTTCTGGAAAGTGAGTAACCTGTGGGGCCTCAGTTTCCTCACCTGTAAAATGGAAGGTGTCATGGCTCTGCCCTTCTGGAATTCCAATGAGGATTAAGAACAGAGTAGGAAGGTGGGGTGCGTGGTTCACGCCTGTAATCCCAGCACTTCGGGAGGCCGAGGCAGGCGGATCACGAGGTCAGGAGTTCGAGACCAGCCTGACCAACATGATGAAAACCCATCTCTACTAAATATACAAAAACATTTTTTTATTTTTTGCTGGGCATGGTGGCACGCACCTGTAATCCCAGCTACTCGGGAGGCTGAGGCAGGAGAATCACTTGAACCCGGGAGATAGAGGCCGTGGTGAGCCGAGATGGTGCCACTGCACTCCAGCCTGGGCAACAGAGCAAGGCTCGTCTTAAAAAAAAAATACAGTAACAGCAACGACAGTAAGAACGAAGTGTTTGGTGGTGCCTGGCCGCACGCCAGGACCCCAGCCCAGGCCCCTGAGGGAGGCCGCATCCACCTGCACCCAGCAGCACCGGGCACTCACGGTCGGGCGGTCGGAGGGGCAGGTGCTTTCCACCCCCCCTCCGAGACCCGGACACCAGCCATCGCCTCCCTCCCTGCCCTTTACTTGATTCTCCATCTGGAGGCTGCTGTCCTCCCGAAGAGCATCCAGGGTATCCCCCTGCTCACCCGCTCACCCCCCAACTCCACAGCCCCCCTCCTGCTGTCAGACGCCACTCTGCTCCTTTTGGGCTCTTCAGGTCCTTTTGGAGACCCTCTGTCTGGAGGCCTCGGCTGCACCAGCCGCCCTGCCTAGCGTCCTTGCTTGTGGGCTGCTGTCTGTTCACTGTGCCCCACCAGGCCCTGACAGACCCTGGGAGAGCCCCCAGAGGTGCCCTGCCTGTCTCAGACACACACACCCTTGCCCAGAGCCTTGCCGGGGGCTTAGGAAGAGCCCAACACGTCCAATGAATCACAAATGCTGGATGGACGGATGGACAGGCTGACCCACAGGCCGGCAGTAGGCGGGGTGTGTGCAGATGAAAGGGCCTCCCCAAAGAGCCTATGGGGGCCATACCCCTCAGCTGCCTTCCAGGCCAAAGGCCAAGGCTGGAGATCTCAGAGCTGTCCCAGCCCCCGCCACACTCCAGAGGGTGGGGGTGGTGCCCACGGACAGCCCCGCAGGTTCCGTGGAGCGGCTGGGCCCTGGGCCAGACTTGGCTGGAGCCCAGCTCGGAAGGTTTGCAAGCGTGGGTGCTAACAGGAAGCGCCAGGATGCTTGCCTCTGGGTGAGCTGTGCCCCACACCGGGTCCGTCAGCCACCCAGGGGCTCCCCCTCCAGTGGTGGGACCTCAGGCAGCCTCCTGAGCCTCTGCACCAGCAGCACACTCCTCAGTTCGGTTTTGATGCTTTTAACACCCTCACAGCCTTCTCCCCAGGTTCTCCCCCTTCTGCTCCTCAAGCCGCCCACCCCCACCCCGCCCTGGAGATTTGTCTTCTGTGCCCTCCCACAACTCCAGGCTGGCATCTGGGCCAGCCCGCCTTCTCTGAGAGCCTCCCGTGCCCCCACGCCGAGCCCACTGCCCCCTGAAGCCCTCCTGCACCCTCTCCTACCTCCTCTTGGAGATGATTGACAGGCTGCCCGCCACCCAGGACCCACCTAAGAGCGGCGCTCGCTCACTCGCCCTGCCAGGCTCCCAGGTTCCGGGCTGTCAACCTGGCTGTGCACAGAGCGGCCTGAGGCCAGATGCAGGTTCCAGGCTCCACGGACAACCGCCTCCTCCAGGAAGCCCACCGCTAGGCCCTCCTCCAGGGGTCCTGGGAGAGTGAGACACTCAGGGCTGGTCCCAGGGTTGGACAAGACTCCTCCGGGCCCGGGCCGGAGCTGTAGCGACAGGCCCGGCCGGCATCGCGGCAGTGAGCGAAGATGCGCCCAGATGCCCGGCTTTGCCAAAACTGCCTGGCAGGGACCTTGCATCCTCAGGGAGGCAGTGCAGCTCTGGGGGGGCACCTGCAGCCCTCTCTGCCAAGGGGAGGAGGGAAGGTCAGCAGAATCGCAGGCCACGGGCACCAGCGTTCCCATCCTGGCTCGGGCCGCACGGAAGCCCCTCCACGGCGCCCTCCCGTGAACCCTTCGGCCTGCAGGGGCTGCAGAGACCGTCCAGGCAGGCTTGCCCGTCCCCAGGCCCAGCCTGGCCTCGACAGGGCCCCAGGTGGGCCTGGGGTGGACCTGGGTGCAGGGCGGGCCCCGGCCCGTGCCAGAACATACCTCAGCTCGCTCTGCGCCGCACAAACTTGTCTCCCAGGATTTTTCCACACAAAACCCGTCTCCCAGGGAAGCAGCCAGTCTGATGAGCTGGGCGTTCCCACCCTGCCCTCCGGGGCCCCCACAGTCCTGGCCCGACGCAGAGGCTGCCCCGCACGCTGGGCCGGGGATGGAGCCCAGGACACCTTGGCCATCCGCAGTGGCCTCTGGGATGAGCTGGGAGGCTGGTGGGGTCCAGACCGCAGGCAAGGTAGGTCTCCCTCCCCACCCGGCGGCCCCAGCCCGGCCTCACCCATCCTTTCAGGGGCCCTCCCTCCCCCCCAATCCCCAACACCGACCTCTGACTCCCACCCTCCAGTTTCCGCCCCCTCAGCACTGACCCCACACTCACGCCAAACCTCTGGCCCCAGCCCCACTAGGGCAAAAGTCTTTGGGGGACGGGGCTGGGGTAAGGGTCTGCCCTGGAGGAGAGCCCAGAGCCAGAGTCCAGGGTCCCGGGAGAGGCACAGGCTGTCAGATGAGCTCGTGAGGGAAGCCGGGGGTCACAGATGTTCAGCTCCCACCCTCAGCCCTCCAAGGCTTGCCCCCAACCCCCATCTACCACGGCCTGTCCCAGAGGCCAGAGAACCTCAGAGCCCTCCTGCTGGACCCACCAGCTGTGGTGCTCAAGGGAGATCTTCCGGGCACAAGCCTTGCTTGAACTGGGACCCCCCATCCCCACCCCACTCCACCCTCACTCCCTCTCCACCCCCTGCTCTCCCAGACCCCCTGGCCCCCACATCCCCACCCCACTCCACCCTCTCCACCCCAGCCTCTGCTCTCCCAGACCCCCTGGTTCTTCCCCGCACACCCACTCCTGCCCCAAGCCTGGTGTGCCAGGCCCCTCTGAGTCAACCCCCTGGGGCAGCCCCACCCCCTGTACCCTGACTCATGTGCTGGGAATGGCCTCTCACCCCAGGGCCTGGGGTGCAGAAGCAGAGTGGGACCAGGGTCCCAGGAACCAGAGGGGGTCAAGCCCGCTCTTTGGAGGCCTCTGTGGGGGATGAGGGGGTTCTGGGGGTGAGTTCCAGGGTCTGCAGGCCTAGGGGGAGGGCCAGTCCATCCACAGCCTTCCTGATGGGGAGGGGCTCGCTGGGTTCTGAGGACCAGGGCCAGGGCTCCATGGGGTCCCGTTGGACCCTAAAGCTCCACCCCTCCAGCCTTTGCCCTGACCCCTGGCACTGACCCCTGCCCCCCTCCACACACTGTCTCCTGCCAACCCTGCCTCGGCCTCATCCCCGCCTCCCCAGCAAGGCTGGGCTACCATGGAGGCTGCCTGGTCCTCAGAGCTCCCAAGGGCCCTAGACCCCCGGGGGTGGGACAGCTTCCCTTCAGGCTGGGGGTGACGGGACACACCCCCCGCAGGCCCCTGGCCCTTCCCCGATACTCAGGACACAGGGGGCCCCTCTGTCCCACCCCCACCACAAAGGGCCCAGCCTGGCCTTTACAGGCCGAGAACAAGGAGGACCCAGGCCTGTCACCCAGCCGTGGGACGGGAGAAGAGGAGGCAGGAGGCCAGGCTGGGACCTGGGGCCGTGCGGGCGGGGCCTGTTCTTCCACCCAAATTCCACCTTAAGCAGGCGGCGCCCTTCCCTCCCACCTGGCCAGGTGTCCCCGCCCCCAGCTGTGCTCAGGGCTGGGCAGGCGTCTGTCTCCAGGCGGCTCTGGGTGAGGCCGGCGGGGCGGGGACTTCGGGGAGAGGGCCTCGAGGGACGGAGCGAAGACAGTTGGGCTCAGAGGCGGCCGCCAGGCCCAGGCCGGAGGACGGCAGGCGCCACCGCCATGCAGGATGGTAACTTCCTGCTGTCGGCCCTGCAGCCGGAGGCCGGCGTGTGCTCCTTGGCGCTGCCCTCTGACCTGCAGCTGGACCGCCGGGGCGCAGAGGGGCCGGAGGCCGAGCGGCTGCGGGCAGCCCGTGTCCAGGAGCAGGTCCGAGCCCGCCTCCTGCAACTGGGACAGCAGCCTCGGCACAACGGGGCCGCCGAGCCCGAGGCCGAGACGGCCCGAGGTAGGCCATGGCCACAAGGCGGGTGCCAGGCGGGCACGGTGGGGCGGTGGGGACGGTGCCAGGGGCAGAGGCCTCAGCGGGCCGGCTCCAGGGTTCAGCTCCTGACTCACCCAGGCCTCACACTGAGTCATGCACCCCGCCCCAACGGGCGTGGGGAGAAGCCATGGGTGGGGCGGCCCCATCCAAGCAGGGACCCCTGGGTCTTACAGATGTGGAGCCTGGCTAGGCCCCACCTGTGCCCAGCCTTGAGCCCTCCCTGTAGGGGGCTGACGGGAAGGCTGGCACCTGGCAGGCGGGCCAGGCCTCTGGGTTGGGAAACCCGGAACACGCCTTCGCCCGGCCCAGGCGGCACAGGCTCACGCAGGGTCTCAGGACACCCAGACACCCGCGCTCCCCCCACACCTCGTGGGAAGAGCAGAGCAGGAAGTCCTGGAGGAGAGCCAGGCCTGTCTGGGCCAGGGGCTCCCTGAGGAATTAGAGGGGAGGGCCAGCTGGAGTGACCCAGATTTCTCTGTGGGGACAGCAGGTGGAGGAGCACCCTCGGTGCTGGCCAGGATCCCCGCTCACGCGAGTGTGCGGGTCTAAGTGCAGCTGACAGGCTCACACACACGCTGGGAGTGGAAGGCAGTGGCTCTAGAAATGTCGTTTCCTCCTTTGCCAGGCTACAGCAACAGGGACTAAGGTTAGACAGTAAGATGAACCTCCCAGAATGCCAGGGACCCAGATGCCAGTTTGTCATGGTCCACTTGGTGTTTAGAGGGGCCACCCCAGGACTGGCCTCCAGACACTGGCTGGGGGAAGTGACAGTCGCCCAGCAGAGGGGCCAGCCCCAAGGCCTGGACTGAGGGGACCTCCCTCCCGGGGCCTCAGCCTTGCTGGTGACCAAGCCGGGTGCCCAGGGGTCATGGGGTGGAGGAGGGTGAGGGAAGGGTTAATTACCACCCAGCTACCCTGCCAATTAGAGGGAGGTGAATTATAATTGGGGGGTGGGGGTGAGGTCTCCAGGCTGGGGCGTGCCCCCACTCCGGGATGGGCCTCAGGAGCGTCACAGGGTTAATAGCCCCTGCCCAGAAGCCCCATTAACCAGGATGGGTGAGGCCCCTGATGTGGGGTGTCCCGCACAGAGCATTCAGCTCTGGGCAGAGTTGTGGGAGGCCACAGCCCCCTTCCCACACCCCACCCTGAGCGCCTCAGCCAGGTCACCCTGCCAGGCCCTCATGCCCCCACCGCCAGCCTGTCCACTCTGCCCACCACGGGTTCTTCCCGCTGCCCAGTCGCCATCCACCTGTCGGGCCCTCACTCTCCACCCCCAGCTCTCCATCCTTTCAACAGTCACAGCAGCCCCTGCCCCACTCCTGCCCGTCACTCCATCCTCCCCCCTCCACCCACCCACCTGTCTGCCCACTCACTGTGGGGCTGGGCTGATGCAGCTGCCCTTGGCCTGTGTGTGGCTGGACGGGGTGGGTGTGGCCTCTGCCTCGGGCTCTGCCAGGTAGGAGAGGGCACTGCAACAGGACATACTGGTCCAGAGAGACAGGGCCACTCTCCAGTGACCGGGCACAGATGAGGTTTGGGCACAGGAGGAGCTCAAAAGAAGTCAGTGTGGGCCTGGGCAGGCCAGGATGGCTTCCTGGAGGAGGGGGCTGGGCGCTGTACTGCGGCAGGGATTGGACACAGAGTCCCTGGCACATTCCCCAGGGACCAGGAGGTCAGTGGGTGAGCGCATCTGCCGTCTCGGGCAGAGGAGGCACAGCTTGGGGGTGGGCTGTGGAAGGTAGACCACCAGGCTGACAGGTGAGGAGACCTGTCAGGAGACATGGCAGGAACGGGGAGGCACTGGCCCTGGGTCCCGCTGGGATCCCCTTCCCAGGACTGAGGCTGCTCCCGGGGTTGTGAATGGAGATGGGCTGCTGGAGAGGGGGCAGGAGGCCCGTGAGCTGCTGTCTGGCAGAGCCGGGCTCCCACTGTCCCTCTCCGCAGGTGTATCCAGGGGGCAGTACCACACCCTGCAGGCTGGCTTCAGCTCTCGCTCTCAGGGCCTGAGTGGGGACAAGACCTCGGTGAGTGATGGCCCAGCCCGAGGGGGCAATCTGGGCTCTGCAGCAGGCTGGGCACAGGTGAGCCAGGCGCGCCCTCACTGCCCCCTCCACCTACAGGGCTTCCGGCCCATCGCCAAGCCAGCCTGCAGCCCGGCCTCCTGGTCCTCCCGCTCTGCCGTGGACCTGAGCTGCAATCGGAGGCTGAGTTCCGCCCACAACGGGGGCAGCACCTTTGTGGCCAGTGGGTACGGGGGTGCCCAGCCCACCCCTCCCATGCCCGCCAGGCCCGTGTCCTTCCACGAGCATGGTGGGGTTGGGAGCCGGGCCGAGTATGACACGCTGTCCCTGCGCTCCCTGCGGCTGGGGGCTGGGGGCCTGGACGACCGCTACAGCGTGGTGTCCGAGCAGCTGGAGCCCGCAACCACCTCCACCTACAGGACCTTTGC